CGATTGACTCAATGTCAGGGAGCTTAATAGCAGGACTTGGTGCGATGTCTGGACACTAGCACCTTCAGGAACTGAGCCTGTGAGAGTCCCACCTGTGTCCTCATACCAGGGTCGCCTCGCTGGCCCCTCTCCCTGTGGACGTCACCCCTCCCCGCCACGTTGGCCTGGGCTCCTTGCAGTCGGAGTGTGGGAAGCGGAGTGGCGTATGGCTGTGGCCACACATTAACAGTTTCTGTGTAAATATTGGTATTTCCTTACCCCGTGGAGGCGAGAGGCAGCGAAATGGCACCAGCACACTTGATTTCAACTAATTAACAGTGGGGATGGGGGGTGGGGTCGTGCAACCCAATATATTGATTTTACTAAGGTGGGGGGAGGAGTTTGAACCTAAGTGTACACGCCAGCTGGCTCAAGCCTCACCCCTAGCCCCTGCAAATCCCTGGACTGCATCTTACAGCAGTATGGCAGTGACCCGGCCACAGGGACAGCTCCCACCCTAGGTCTGAAGAGCCACCTCAGGAAAAGGGTCAGGGCTCCCAAGTGGGCACAGCTCCATCAGAGAGTCCGGCTGGGGAGATGGGTAGGCAGGCGGGGAAGGGTGGAGGCAGGGGAGTGTTAGGACACTGATGATTGCAATGGGCCAAATATGACCTTACCCAGAAAGGGGAGGTGGGGGAGGGTGGATATTAAAGCACTAGGGCGATCAATCATCTTTGGTGGGACTCTCCCTGTAATGAAGTCACCACTTGTCTGTGCGTTTGGGCCCATGTGATATGCGCTCACATCACAGGCATCCGGGTGGCGCACCAGCTGCGAGTCTCGCAGCCCAGACTCGCTGCTAGCCTTGGTCCTTGAGCGTGTGTGCACGCGTGGGGGGGGGGGCCCGCACGCACACACCCACATGCACACACCCACACCACTCAGTGCCCGACAGAGAATCACACTCCTGGGCGCCCTGTGACCCAATTCCCCTAGACTACCTTCCTTTGACCCCCCTTTCACCAGCCCACTCTACAACTGGGATGAGCACCCAAACAAACAGAAACCAAACCAGCCCCCCCACAAGACTGGCACCTGGGGGGTGGGAGATGGGACTTGTCTGTAACCTGTTCTTATCCCCAAAGGGAAATCCATGGAAGATCAAGAGTTCAAATCAGGGTCACACATCCTTGGGGAGACTAGGTGGGGTGGGGTGGGAGGCGAGGATCGTTGAGTTCTGTGAGCAGGAAAATGAGGTTCTGAAAGGGTTTACTGAAAGCACAGCTGCCGATACAGTCGTGCAGGGAAGGCCCTTTGCAGAAGGGAAGAAAGAAGGGGGGGGGCCCTGGGTGACATCTATATTAACCTTTGGCTGCTTACCAGGGAGGGCCGGCGCGGGCTGGAATGTGGAGCGGCCCTTCCAAATTTTAACACAAGCCAGGTTACAGCTGCAGATGCCTGCAGTCCAGGCTCCCTCTGCGAAGCACTCCCTGAAGGAAATTTTAAAAACTGTAACAGAATCTTTTTCTAATACTTTACAGTGGTAGGGCCTGTTCTGAAGGAGCAGAAGAAGCCATCTTAATGCCAAACACTTGCTGACAGAAGGACAGCCAGATGGTACACAGCGCAGCTCAGGACTGCTCCAGGCCCGCTCCCCGTGCTCAGGCCTGACAGAAACAAAAGACACTTTCAGCAGACGCCTCCGCACGGCGTGGAATGGCCACCTTTCTCCCTCCTGTGTTTGTTTGGTTTGCTTCCTGATTTTGTTTCAAAGACTCAACTGACTCCATGAGTCAGAACCTGGACACTCACCGCCAACCTTCCCGCCAGCAGGTTGTCCCAAAGCAAGAAAGGTGGCAATGGGCTTTTGGGGGATTCGAGGGCTCTGATAGCTGTTGGGGGGTGGGGTGGGGGAGATGCAGAGAGGTGCTCCAGAGGAGGTCGCTGGTTTTGAATTCCAAAAAAATGAAGTCTGCCCCAAGGCGTCGGGGGCTTGTCAATCCAAACACAAGTTGACACGTCTCATCATTGAATTTGAGGGCCCGGCCCAGCCTGGGAGTGGTGCGTCCCACACTCAGGCTGGTCTTCGTCAGGAGGTGCAGTCTGAAGTCCTTGTTCCCAGGGCCTGGTTTTGTCATGAGCTCCCCCTCGCCTTTAAAGTCCCACTCAGCCTGGCAAAAAGCTTGGATTCCGAGCAGAACAACTTGTAGGACCAGAAACCAGTCTGGCTGCCAGCAGGAAGAAGAATCACGCAGGTCTGCGAAAGCCTTCAGCATCCCAGCCCCACAGCCGGCTGGCCGTCCAAAGTCCCCCAGCTCACACGCAGGTATGTGCTGGGCAGGCCAGGGAGCCAGTCTCCCAGGGAAGATCTCCATCCAGTCTTCCCAAGTCTCCCCAGATGATAACAAGGAAGGGTTTGCCATGAGCCACTGGCGTTTTCTCATTCACGGGGGAAGTGTGCATAGATGTACCAACAAGCAAAAGCCAAACTCACAGCCATCGGGTCCTCTCCCACTCGTAGCTGCCCTAGAGGACAGGGTGGCACTGCCCCTGTGGGTTTCCGGGATTACAACTCTTCACGGGAGTAGAAAGCCTCTTCTTTCTCCTACATAGAACTATACAAATTGTGATTTGCAATCCCAGGGTAGTGAGCACGATTTCTCAGCAAATTCAGCTACCCTCCTATCCCAGCCCACTCCCGGGTCCTCTTCCAGCCCCACTGCCACCTTCAAGATCAAACCGATGGGATGGCCAGTTTCTCCGCAGGCAGTTGCTGAGCAGAAATGAAAGACCAAACTCAGAAGGGACTCCGGGAAGGGCCCAGGCCTTGGCCTAACTCATTAGCATTGGTTGAGGGAGAGGGAGAGGGGGAGAGAGAGAGAACATGATTGAGTGAGCGTGTCCTGTTAATGCGGATCCACCGTCTCCTGTGGAGTGATGTTCCAGCAAGCCAGACCTGAGAAAACTAGGAAGTCTACCCCAGAGCCCAAGCCAGCCCAGCTGATGGCGAGGCACAGACAAGCCTGTCTTTGTCCTTTTGAGATGAAAGAAGTGGGGCTGGCAGGGTTGAAAGGTGTGTGTGCGGCCCAGGAAAACCAGCAGGCTGGGGCCCTCCCAGGCGAGTTCTGGCCTGCTCTCACCACCCACGGGGGCAAGGAGCCCTGCCCCCAGTCCCCAGAGGCATACAGGGAGCAACCTGCTGCTCCTCTGGGGAGGGCCCCCTCCCCCCTCCAATCTGGTCAAGCTGCCTGCCAGTGGCTACGAATTAGGTGCCTTTTGCAAGACTTTCACAGCGCAGTTTACAGAAGGCCCAGCTTCCAAATGCCTTTGTAATGACCCCAGCTGGGCTCTGCAGGCAGCGGAGCTGGGGTTGGCTAGTTCACTGAGAAGTCTGGGTACCCCACCCAACAGGACACCGTAACAGGACCACTCCCCCCACTCCCCTCCCCCCTGGCTAACCCAGGCTTGGCTTAGCCTGGGCTAAGGTGCCACTTCCATTTATTCTTAGGTCTAAAATTGTCCTTCAGGTTTTTGCAAGGAAACAGCAAAAAAAAAAAAAAAAGCCAGATCAAAGAGAAGATGTTGAAAAGTCTAGACCACCCTCTGTCCACCCCCAGAGCTGCTTCTCAGGCCCCGGCAAAACCTGGCAAAACCTTCCGGTTCACAAAGCCCTGTGCCTGACCCTGAAGACACACTGGCATGCATGCAGTCTGGCTGACCCGTTCCTCGCCTTTCTCCACCCAAGACATCTTAGCCTTGTTCGCGTAACAGGCCACCTCGCCTCCTGTCATTTAAACTTTCTTTTGGAACTTCGGGGGGCGTCTCCGCCTCCCACCCCTGGCTCACTGACCCGCCTGCCTCTGTTGGGGTCTGACGGTGGGAAAGGGTGCGCCCTGGTGTACCCCGGCCTCCCGCCGTCCCTGCCTGCAGCCTCAGGCCATCACGCCGCTGCCCAGCTCTCCGCGTGAGTACTTGGGCCATTCGTTCCACGTTGACACAGCGCCCGTGGGCGGAAGCTTGTCGTCGCGCCCCCGTTGGGATTTTCACTGCAAGTGACACAGGTAGAGGGAAGGCTACTAAGGAAAGGGCGCGACCGGGGGAATGGGGGCGGTGGTGGCAGGGAGTGTTATCTCGAAAACCAAATATTTAAGCCTGGCCCTACAGCGCGCGCCGCCGGGGCTCACTTTGAGCAGGTCCGTGAACGTGCGCGGCCCAGACGGAGGGCAGCTCCAGGGCCCTGCCGGGTCTGCCCCGCCGCCCCCGGCCGCGTCGGCTCTGAGATCCCGCGCCACCCAATCGCCAAAACCGGTGGTTTCGCGCGCCACACGTGATAAACGCTGAAAATGGATTCTGCCCGCCCGGGACCTATCATTAAATATTTAAAATAGAAAGTTCGCAATGGCAACGTTTCTGCCGGGGCAGGGAGACTGAGCGAGGGGGGCGCTGGCGACGGGGTGAGGGGCGGGAGGAGGTCCGGCGGCGCCGCGGGCGCGCTGCACGCCAAGGAGGCGCACCAGGAGCGAACAGGTAGGGCTCGCCAGGGCGGGGACCCGTCGCGCTGCCCCGGCGGCCAGGGCCAGCCGGGGTGAGCGGGGCCGAGGACCCGAGAGAAGGCAGTCCTCTGCAAAGGGACCTTGTAAATCCAGGTAGAAAGAGCCGCGCGGGCCGGGGGGCCGCTCACATGACCAACTCCCGCGCTTTGAACTGAGCCGAGACCCCGGCCGGCGCCTCTGGGTTGATCCCAGAGGAGCAGCCGATAACCTAACCCGCAGGGGGCGAGGGGGGGGGGCCCGCTTAGGCTGGACTCTTCCCTCCTGGAAGCACTCACAGGCCAGCAAAGCTGACCTCGCCCTACCTGGGGTAGGGGTCCAATAGGGCCGGAGGTGGGAGACCCTCAGCCGGGTACTGTCGGCTCTACAAACGGCCGGGAAAAGGTAGGCAGCTGGAGAAGGAAGTGACACCACCCCACCACCCCCTCCATCGCCAGGACGAGGCGCGCGCCCCCTTCTGCAGTCACTCACCCAGGTTAACGAAGCTCATGACCATGTCGGCGTCGGTGAGGAAATGGCTATCTTGCAGGCTGGCCAGAGGGGGGCCCTGGGTGCTGAAGACGGCCTTGTAGGGGTAGGAGAAGCCCTGGCCGTCGGCCCCGCCACCGTCCTCCACCGCCATAGCATTGTACAGGTCCAGCATGAACATGGGCGCCGAGTTGTGCTTGCCCTGGAGATGGGGACGCGGGCGGTGGGGTAAGCCCAAGATGGAGAGGATCTCGCGCTGCATCTCGCGCCGCTCCTGGCTGCGGAGGCGCCGGTGGATGAAGCTGGAGTGCACCTCGTTGTCCAGGCTGAAGTCGGCCAGCGCGGCGCGCAGCAGGAGCAGGGGCACCCAGAGCGCTGCGAAGCTGGGGGGCGCCGCGCCGCGCCACGAGCGCACGTGCATCACGCGGGCTCTCCGCGCCGCGCGGGCACCAGGCTCCGGGCGTGGGGTCCCGCGCCGCCCCAGGTGGCGGAGGAGGGCAGTGGCGTCCACGCCGCTCAGTCACTTGCTGTAGACCAGTCCCGCTGCGCCCGCGGCGGACATGGCCCCTCCCCGGCCGGCTGCGCTCTGCCCCGGTCCCCGGCCCGCCTCGGGCTGGCCCCGGGGCCCCTCGACCGGCGTTCGCTGGGGCGCACAGCCGGGCTTGGAGAGCAGCTGGAGTGAGCGAGCGAGGAGGCTGGCGCGGGTGGGAGGAGCAGCCCGCAAACCTCGGAGCTGGGAGGCGGTGGCCTGGCGCTCGGGCTCTCCAGAGCGCTCTCCCCTCGGGCAGTGGCGACCCGCCTGCTTCCAACCTCCGGCGCCTCCGCGGACAGCGGGGATCTGGGTGGTTCTCCCGGCCCTGCGCGCCCGATCGCACGAGAGGCCGCCTTGAGAGCCCCAGACTGTAAGCGCTGGGGCCTGGGAGGAGGAGAAGGAGGGGGTGGGGGAGGAGGGCGGGCTTCCAGGGGCCCCTCCCGCGCCGGCGGCCTCCCACCTGCCTCGGCCCCGCCTTCCCCCATGCTGTGCCCAATGGGTTCATTCAATCCTCTTAGTGCGCTGGACAAATATTGACCGAGTGCCCACCGGGTGCCCAGCGCGGAATCCCAGCCGGCCCTGCCCTCTCGGGGCTCGCAGTCGGGACGGGGCGAGAGGCCCGAGAAGGGGGCTCGAGGGTTGATCCGGGCAGCCAGCGGAGAGGCTGAGCTGCAGCGGATCACGGAGGAAGCGCGGGAATCGCAGATGACTTCCCGAAGGAGGTGGCCCCTGAATGGTCTTGTCCTTCTGCCCCTCTTGGGCCTGCTCCCCCGCTCTCCTCACTCGAGCATGCAGACAACTCCCTGCTGCCCCCGCGCCTCCCCAAACTTGTCGACAGCTTGATTTTGCACGTGCGTCCCCTGGGTCTGGATGGAGCTCCAGCACCCCTGACACCCCGTCCCCCCCTACACACACACACCCCCCGCCTTCTGTCAGGGCAATCCCGATCGAACTGACGAGGTTTTCATTCGCCCTGTTGGAAAATTCGGGAAGAGGTTCCCGCGCCTTTCAAAACTCACTAGGGCAAGCTTGGGAATTTAGGCTCTTTATCATTCCGGAAAAGTATGCAAATCTAGAGTGCTTCCTCTTGAAATGTAAGCACGGGGGAAACTCACACCCGACCTCCCACTTTTCTGCAAGGACATTAGCATAACTCTAGGGGGCCGTCCTGAAGATACTAGTAAATTAACGAGTTTCTCTTCCCGTGAATCTATCCGGCGACATCCTCTCAGCTCGGTGAGGGTCAGCCTCCTCGAGGTGTTTGCAATCTCCCCGGCGCAGTGATGGCTGGTGGGAGAGCCCACGCGGGTTCCCTGCCTTGTCAATAGTCAAGAGTCGCCTTGCCTCACTTCCTGTGCCGTGCAGAGGTGTTCTGGGCCGAGAGTAGGTTTGCTTTTAGTAAATCCCCACCCCACCTCACCCCCACTACCATACCCCCCACCCCCACCCCCAGTGTGCCACAAGGTTGGGGACTCACCAGCGCCAGGTCCCTAATCCAGGCCCATCTCTTCCCAAAGACCTTCCTGGCGAGTGAAGCTGAGGTGGCCTACACACGCGATTTCTGGCCCTGAGCTCCTTTCTCGGTCTGGAATTAGTTGGAGTTAAGCAGTGTTCTTTGTATTATGTCTGTCCCCACTAGAAGCCGAGCCTCTGAGGCCCGAAGTGGCCCCTGGCTTAGCCGCTCTAGGACCCCCACACCTGACAACTCTAGCAGTAAACTGGGGTGAATGGAGAAAATCTGAATGGCCAGGGGGAGGAACCAGGGAACTGGGTCCTCCTTTCTTTTTGCCCCCGTCTACCTCTCCCCCCCCACCACCACTGCATAATCCTGCCCGCCTTCCCCATCAGCAGTCTGCAGGGCACACTTCTGAGATTGTGCCAAGCCTACACCTGCCAGCCGCTTTCTTCCTCATTCATCCTGCCACAAATACTGCTGTGGTGCCCTCCCTGTGCCCCGCTGACTGCGGTCCCAGGCCACTACTGCTCTGGCAGTTGGAGGTCCATCAGTGGTCTCTAGTCATTGGCGCTCTGGTTTTCTCATCCGTCATTGGAATGCGCGCACAATGAGCTCTCTTCCAGAGTGGCAGTGGGGTTGTGCCTTGGAGTCGAGATGCAGGGTCCCCAGGAGTCTAGGCTGAGTGTGGGGGAAGGAGGTTTGCCCCCTAGGGTCTGACTCAGACTGTCCCTGAGGGCTGGAGGGAGCCCCTAGCTGGGCCTCCCAGAGGCAGGAGGGCTGGTGAGCGGCTCCCAGGAGCCTGGTTTTCTCCAGGTCTCTGAGCAAAGGTGAGTCAGCCATACAGCTCCTGGCTTCCCCTCTCTGTCACCCCCACCCCCTCTGTCTCTTGGGCCACCTCAGTGCAGAGAGAAGAGATATGCAAGGCGGCCCCAGTCTGTGGGACAAAGAGCTTAGTTTGGCTTTTGGTGGAAGGTTTTGGAAAACAACCTGAGCATTTAGGATATTCTTTGTCTTTCAGAACCAGCCAGGCCTAACTCAAACAAGTGTCAACAAGGAGGGGCTTCTGGCCCTGCTCCCTGGCCATGGACCACTGGCCTCAGGAAGGGAGGGGGCCAGGGGCAGTCGCTCATGCTCATTGATCGAAAGCAGCTTCAAGAGATGGAAAAAGAAAAACTCTGCATGGGAAAGTACGTTCTAATAAGTTTGTTTGATGAGAAAAAAATAAAAACAAACAGATAAAAAAAGAGAGCGAGAGACCACATGCTGCGTTGGGCAACTCCGCCGCACCAGACCCCATCCCAGTGTCGAAAAGCACCACCTGGAAGATTGAGGTGCACCCGATGCAGGCTATGACAGCATTTCCAATCGCCTCCTATGCAGGCAGCAGCTGGACAGGGAATAAGGCTGAAGAAGAATCATTGATATCTTTGAAAGGAGAGTGCATCTACCATCGACTGCTAGGAGAACCAGCAAGTCTGTCTTGTATGAAGTAGAGGTTGGAAGAAGTACAACCAGGATGCTTCTTAGAAGTTAGGAGAGTGAGACTCCTTCATCTCACCTCACGCAAACCGAAAACCAAACTCGCTGTCATTGAGTTGATTCCAACTCATAGTCAGCCTAGAGGACCTCAGAGAACGAACTGCTTTTGTGGGTTTCCTAGATTGGAACGGTTTACAGGAGTAGAAAGCCTCATCTTTCTCCAGTGGGTCCACTGGTGGTTTTGAACTGCTGACCTTGAGGTTAGCAGCCCAATTCATAACCACGCATGCCACACTTTGAGCATATTATCGGGAGGGAGCAATCTCTGGAGAAAGACAGTACTCTTGATAACGTAGAGGGCCATTGAGTGGATTGACACAGGGGCTGCAGCCATGCGATCAAACATAGCGACCCTAGTGAGGGTAGCTCAGGACAGGACAAGGTTTCGTGCTGTTGTCCCGAGGGTTGTGATGTGTCGGAACCAAAGGCACTAAACAACAACCTTGCAAGGCGCCAGTCACCCATCCACCTCGGTCCCCATGACTCCGGACCTTGAGTGTTCTTTGGGGGATAGCGGGATGGCCAGACCTTCCCCGTGTGGGAGGATGTATGGCATGATCTGGGGACCACGGAGACCTCCAGCTGGGGCTTCTCCCAGGCCTTTCCATCTCTACCCTTTGTCACCGTGCTGCTTATAAGACCTGGGGTACCTGGAAGTCTGGGTAATTGTTTCTGTGAGTCATTCTAGCAAATTATCCAACATGGGGGTGAGGGGTGGGAGTCGATGGTGCTCTCTGCTCACTGGGCAGGACAGAAAGGACCCTTATAGAGACCAAGCTCAGGTGGTTAGGGTCTGAAAGTAGCCTGTGCTTGGCTTGTGCCAGAATGAAGGAGTGGACGCGGGAGTTATTTCACACTTTGGAAATTTGCCTTATGTCGGCTATTAGCCACTAAAAGTGGATCATTGAATAAATGAATGGGCCAGCTGTCTGTGGTCACAGATGCCAGGTCCCCCCGCCTGGGCCTCTGCCACTGGCCAGTTTCTACCTACTCCTTTCTTGGGTGCCAGGCTGGGTGGCTGCCTGGGTCATCCACCTGTAAGCCAGAGGGGCCTGCACTGGGAAGGGCCTGATCTTATTAAGTCCCTGCTCCACCTGGGCATTTTTAATCATCTCTTAATTAGGGCCCTCACATCATGTGGCCATCCTGGTCTCGGGCACAATGCTGGGCTAGATACACAGCAGGAGGGCAGGTGGCCTCTGTCCAGGAGATGGCTCTCATGTGGGGACGGGGGCGGACCAGAAACCTTCCCTCCGCTTGAGGTGGGGAGTGGAGGCAGGCAGGCCCTCTGGAGGAGGTTGAAGGTGCACCACCAGCAGCAGAGCGAATGAAATGACCCAGATGTAACTCACCGGGGTCAGGGACC